TCTCCCAATATAGTTAAGCACTTGTGCCTCTTTCCCTGGGTTATTCACAGCAGGAGAAATCACAGGATTCCAAGACATTGTGTTCCATGATGTCCATGTTGTAGTTGCTTATGCACAGTCCGCCCAAGTCCAGAACAAGACATTTGCTTGGGGCCAGGGTGAGCGCGTCGCTTGTGGGAAGATCTGGCTTGGGACAAGCAACACCAGCGTCTCCAGAATATACTCCAGAATACTCCAGAAGGCATCTCCTGGGCTGAGAAAAAATGTAGAGATTCCCATAAAGACTAGAGCAGTGGTAACGGCCTGGATGACAAGGTGTATGTGGTGTGGCAGGGGAGTTTGGCTCCCTCTCATTTCCAAGTGAAACTGGGGAGCTGTTGCAAGCTCTAGTGTGAGACGGAGCTGTTTTCTGAACTGCTGGGGCTCCCACAGGGGTACCAGATCGCTGTCAGGTCTCTTACTGTCTACCAGAGCATGTCTCCTGCTCACCTTTAGCTGACTTCCTTCCCGGGAGTCTCAGCTGGAAGCCAAAGACCTGATGCAATTAAGTGCTTCACCACAGGGTCCCAAATCTGTGTTTTCCAAAGTGCTTCCGCCATGCTCAGGGCAAGGGAGAGGGGGGGAAGTTGGTGCATGGCTTAGATCTCCCTTCACTTCACCTCCCAGGAGACCCCATCCTCAGTCCCTATAGCTGAACAAGGAAACCTGCCCCCCTGAGCACCTATGATGGGGCTGGACTATTTTGAAGGCACCAGTGCTGGATCCAGGATACGCATCCTTTCTGCTCACGGTTTGCCATTATGTGAGAGCCTTTTGTGTCATTGGTATCCCTCCTCTCTTGCCACGGTCCCGGTGCCCTGCAGTGAGTTGGTGGGTCCTGTCATGGGGAAAAGGCCTCTGTATCCGTGGTGGAGCATCCAGGCGGTTTGAAACCCTACACTGAATTTAATCTTGTCTCCTCTGCACTAGGATGCCCTGCTCCCTGTGACCTGGAAATCATTTTCATGACAACAGGGGTGCTGTGCTCTGGAGACCCAGTTCCTCAGGCTGTCTCAGCCTCTGTACTGGTTGGGTCAGAGCAGGTTTTGCTCTCTGTATCAGGACAAGAAGAGCTTTTCCAGGAGGAGCACGGGGGATGGCAAAGGTGTTTAGGAGACTAAGACTGTTTTGCTTCCTGATGGCAACTTGATTTCCTTTCTGCCTCTGTCTCTCCCATCCTCATTGCCTGGTTTGTTGGTCTCCTATGGAAGAGAGGTCTCAAGACACCTCGGCAAAAGGAGCACACCAACCTGGGGCTTGATGTCTTTGCTGAGGGCATAGCAGGAGAGCCAGTCCTGTGTGAATGAGCATGGCAGGGAGCACGTCGCTAAGCCTGGGACACCAATGACACCAAGTGGTGGCAGTGGACTTTCACAAGCGTCCCTCTGAGCCACCGCCTCCTCACGGGGCACTCCCACAGCTAACCAGAAACAAACGTCAGTGATGAAGGTGGCTTGTCTCCAATTCCCTTACCTCACTTCACATCTTTTCCCCATCCATGGGGTCATACCCTGGCCACAGGTTGTGGGGGAAGTCCAGGAGACCAGCTACCATCACAGATGCCCATGCTCTGAACTGTCACAGTTTCTGAGGGACTGTGCTGTAGTTCTGTTCTGCGATGCTCTGTGCACCCCAGGAAAGTTGTCCCAGTCACCTCAGTTGAGTCAGTGGCCTCGGTGCATCTCCATTTCTGGTGTGCAGAAGCAGCGAGCTCTGCTGTGAGCAAGTTCTTGAGTCCAAGCAGCAGCACGGAGGGGCAGCACTGAACCGGAACAGTAAGGGGAACAAATGCAGAGCTGGAAAAAAAAAGAGATAACCCAAAACTGAAGAATTTGCTCAGTTCCCTGGTCTGCACACAAAGCTTTGGTCCTGGAAATCCCCAAAGAATATGTCCTGGTGAGTGACAGGGCATTGTGCCGAGAGACTGTGTATACTGTGGACCAGCAGATAAATGTCAGAAAGACAGATAGTGGGACTGAGCAGGCAAATTGCCAAAAAATGATATTCCTCAACAGTTTTTCTGACTCTCTCAGTTTGTAATCTAAATTGAAGCGGGACTGGGGGTTTTGGGCTTGAATAGCTGCTTGCCTATGTGGGAGAAAGAGAAACATTGGACCAGTCAAGCAATGGAGCAGGTCACCCACCTGGAGGTTTTCAAGACCTGATGGGAGAAAGCCCTGAGTAACCTGGTTTGACCCCAGAGCTGACCCTGCTTTGAGCAGATGGCTAGACTAGAGATCTGCTGAGGTTCTCTCCAGCCTGATTTAGCCTAATGCTTCTAGGACGGTGTCCAAGGCAGATGCTGGGCACCTTGCTTCTCAGCAGCACGTGGCTCAGGGCAGCCAGTGTTGCTCCAGCGGTCTATGTGGCAGCTCAGAGGAGGAGGATGAAGTGGTGCTCCGTGGTGGAGCAGGCACCCCTCAAATGTCCATGGAGGTCCCATGCTGGAGCATACGCATCCCCAAAGGGACTGCAGCCTATGGATAAGCCCATGACAGAGAAGGTGCTACTCCAAAGGAAAACATGAGTGTTGAGCAGTCACAGTGGCGCACAGGAAAAAAAAAACAAGAAGGAAGGAGCAGCAGGGAGGAAGCTGCTACAACCTGACCGCATCCCTGGGCCGCTGCCTATTGCTTCATCAAGGGGCCTGAGTGTAGCCTGCAGTGATAACAAGGAGGAGGAGAGGTGCTGGGAGCAATGCTGAGTCTGGCACAGGGGTGGAAAGGTGCTTTCCCCAAGTGTGGAAATGCTTTGGCGTTTTTCTTTGTGTCCAACACCCGAATCAGTACTCAAACATTTATTTTATATTAATTGACAATAAATTAAGTTAAATTTGAGTCTGTTTTGCCCATGACTGTAATTACCAAGTGATGTCCACATCCTTATCTCGACCCACAAGGTAGCTATGGAGGTAAGATGGGGGACAGACAGACAGACAGTTGGCAGGTTCTTGCTGGGTAGAGAGGGAAAATGAGGGTCTCACCTAGGCATCTCGTGGCAGGGTCTGCTGTGGTCTTCAGGAATCTGCTCGCCCTCCCATGAGCTTGCCTGGGCAGGACGTTAGCTGGTGGTCCCATGACATCAGGTCAGGAATCCCATTAGGCTGTCAGTCCGTCATACTGCTGGCTGAGAAGCATCTGGTCTGCTCCAGCGTCAAACACAATACACTATGTCATTATTTTTCTTGCTTATAATTAGTTTTAACCCAAGGCTTTGCTACATCTAATGAAAGGCGAGCTGAGGGTCAAATAACCTGCCAGATCATCCTTTTGCAAACATGAGCTGTGTGAATGCTGGCTGTGGCCACAACAGTCTGCACCCCAAGGTTAAGCTCGGAGGAATGGTGACACCATCACACGACACTTCTACACCTCTTTTTCACCTCCCAGAGCTGCCAGCCTGGCCCAAGCAGGACCTGGGGATCCTGTGATGTCCCCAGCTGTCCCCTACACTGGTGGCTCCATCTCTCACCTGGCTTGGGACATCCTGTGACACTGGCAGTGGGTCTGCAGCACCATACCATCTCCTGAGAAGCATCCCCAGGCCAGGGGGTTGGCGGGAGGCAGTAATGCGAGTGGGCCAGGGCATCTGTGCCTGCATGGCCCACATCTGCCCTGGGACAGAGACCAGCCGCCCTCTCCTGCAGCTCCCCAGAAAAGGGTTTAGGGCTGCCACTGTCCTTCCCTCGCTTGCGAGTAAGTTCTTGCAGGACCAATACCTTTATAAACACCATCTGGGCTTCAAGCCATCCTTGAAGTGATAGGCAGCAAGGTGGGGAGGTCTCCTGCCCCAGCTTTCTCCCCTCTGCTGGTCATCAGCATGTTCAGGTGCTGGTTTGTCCCTTGGCTCAGCGTGACATGGCTCTGGGCTCCCGCCGCTTTTGAGAAAAGGGCTCTTCCCCCTGCAGCAGCTCAAAGGTGCTGGTTGAATCCAGCATCAGAAAGTGTGGCAGGGAAAGCTTATGATTTCGTTTATGGCATCACTCTGGGAATCTGCTGGCAGGTTTAGCTCTGCCTGGGGGAACAGGAGGTGTATCTGTGAGCAGCACTTCCAGAAGGTGCAGAACCAGAGTCTGTTCATGGGGCTGTACTCCAGCCCCCATTTTGGGCAGCCCCTGTTGCAGCCCTTCTCCAGCTGTCCTGAGCATTGGAGGACCCCAGGGCTGTACCCCTGCCCTTGGGAGTGCTTAACCATGTGAACCAAGCAGTCATCCCAAAGCAGGCACTTAAAAAGGCTGAGTGTTTAACAATCAGCACCTGCACATGAGAAACAGGAGAAAACAGCCCAGACAAGGCCAATGAGTCTGTAGTAAACCCTGAGGTCCCACAAAGCAGGGACCCTGCTCCAACTAGAAATCAATCCCAGCAATGGCACGAGCAAGATGCTTTTTGTTTTCAGGAGGGTTTGCTGGTAATCTCTCCAGCAAAGAAGGTTATAAAGGTGCTCCAGGAGCAAGTTGTAATTTTGTGTGAGCTTGTAATTTTCTCATGCAGCACCTAGGGTCTCACAGAGGCTGCAGGGACTGAATCCAATCCCCTCCTGGCTGCTGAAAGCCAGGAGCTTCCCTCCATCCCCCACCAAGCTGCTCCCACTCCCCCTTCTTCTTGCACGAGGCCTGGGGGTCTGTCTTCCCACCCCCAGAGAAAAGTAGTCTGAGTTAGTGTGTGCAAAGAGCCAGTTTTATTCACAGGGGCACATCAGACATGAAGCAAGCAGAAAACATACAGGAACTATACAGGGAGACTCTGCTTTTCATACAAGAAATCACTATTAACAATATTACAGAAGAATAAATAAAAGTGATGTTGCTACAGTAACCCACAAGGACGATGCTCTCCTCTGTCTGTCATGCACGGCCGAGCCTGCAGACCTCATCCTCCATGGCTGTGCTTCTTCAGTTTGAAAAATACTTCTCCAGCACCTTTGCTAAAAGCCCTGTCTCCTACAAGAAAAGGCACAACAGTGAGACACTGCGTCCCATCCACAGCCTCCACCAACATCACCTGCCGGGTACCACGGGGCAGACGATCAGACAAATGTCCCACGCTGGACCATGATGGCACTTTCAGGGGTGGCTTGGGACAGCACGTGAGAAGGAAAGAGCTAGGACCTTGGCTCCTGCCTCCCGTCCTGTGCTCCAACTGCTGAACCACAGCTGTCAGCCATCAGAGGCAAATTTCACCAGCCCACTGAGACAGCAGCCCCTGGGTTGGGCTTCAGGAACAAGAGCAGCCTCGGGGCCTGATTCAGCAGAGCGCCATGCAAGAAGGCAAAGAGAGACACAAAACAGAACAAGGAAGAGTTATAGAGGGATTTTGGGGGGATTGTGTACTGCCCAGAGGTCCCAGAGCCACGCAAGGCGGCATCTGCCTTCACGCAGAAGGGCTCCCCCACACCCCTGGAGCCATTCCAGTCCACACACATGGTTTCACCCTGTCTCCTGGTGAAATACTGCCACACACCCACGAAGATGACAAGGGATGGGGACGATACCCCTCTGCCAGACAAATCCTTGTGACACGCAGCAACAGGGTGGCACCGTGAAGCCCCAGTGTGCTGAGAGCCGAGCCCTGCTTAACATGTGGTTAAAAAGACAAAACGGAAATCCCCATTTGCAAACCCCTTCTGCTCTGCACGACTTCTGCCATCACAAGCACAGAGCAGCACATGGGAAACATCCTAAAATGAAATCCAACAGCAGTAGGCAAGACTAACCCAGGTGAAGAGAGCACAAGCAAAAAGACTAAGCCCTCGGATTTGTTTAATGCTTAGAGGAGGTCCCACAGAAGGGAAGAACCTGTTTGCAAATGATCAGTGACATCCTCAGAAAAGGAAAAGCCCATTGGGTTTTCCCAATAAAAGTCAAGTTGCCTTGATACTTACCCTGCCATGAAGCACAGCACATGTGCTGGAGCATAGATCACATGAATTCCTGCCTTGCTGACCAGGGGGTCCCAAGGAAGGGAGAAGCATCTGTGTTTTTCTAAACCAAGTTCAGATGGAAGTGACAGATCCTGAGCATGGGGTGGACAGAGTTTCACAGAGCGCAGCTATTAAACGGCTCGTTAGGCAGGTGATGAAAATGGCACTGAGATCAGTTCAAGCACAGGCTGGGTGCTGACCCCAGGTGTCCGACAACAGTCACAGTGAGGGAGAAAGCTGTCAGGGTGGCAGGAATTTGCATTGGCACCGTGTCACCCACAAGAGCAAGAAAAAAAAAAATAACACAGACAGCACTCAAAGGCACCGGGGAGTAGTCCTGTAATATCAACCAGCAGCTCAGAGGCAAGGATGCCTTGGGGGACAGGTGTCGAAGAAAGGAGCAGGAAGGCAGGAGCTGAGTCTCGGGAGGTGCTCAGAGGTGCCTGAAGGGCAGAACCAGACCTATCACCCAGCAAAGTCTCCGTTGCCACCGAGAGGACGCGGCTGGCACACTGAGGCACTGGCCAAGGAGAGGCGAGAGGCATTGAGGGGAGAAGGGGAGGGGTGGGAGCCAGCTGCACATCAGGCACCTGAGCTGCGCAGGGCATCCCACCGGAGGGGCAGCGGGGCAGGCAGCTGGCCAGCATCTGCCTGACCACGAGCCAAACTGCCCTCCAGCAGCAGAACTCCGACACCCAGCACCCACTTGCCAAAGGCCAATGGCCAGTGCTGGGTGCTACCCTTGGAGCACTGGGAGTGAGCACTGGCACCCGGCTGGCGGTCTGAGACACGGCGCCGGTGCTCGGGGCAGCCTCTGCCCCAGCACATCTGCAGCGCAAGCCGTGACCATGCGACTCACCTACGCAGAGCCACAGGGGTCACTTATCCAACTCACACCACACGCTCACGAACATCTTCGCGGGCAAGGTAGGGCAGCACACCCACCAGCTCTCCCATCGTTTCAGGCAGTTAATGCAGCAAATGCCCTCCTCCTCAAAGGCTCCTCAGGGAAAATGGGAAAGGGTCCAGGACCTTCACAGCCCTCTCCTCCCTTTCAGCTGCATCCAAGAAGCAAAAGCTGCAGCAGCACAGCAGTCACGACACACAGCATCTGAAGGGGAGCAGGGTGAGCTGGTGTCTTCAGCCATGCCCAGCTGTATCTGCACGGCGGAAAGCCCGCTATCGTGATAGGACCAGCTCTCTAGCAAAGCCTCAGTTTACCTAAGTCTGCTGAAACCAAGCCGAGAAGACGCTTGAACAAGCAGTGCCGCTCAGGCTCACAGCCTTGCAACTCCGTTCTGCCTGTGCCTTCCCAAAAAAGCAAAGAATAGGAACAAGCACTGCCTAAAACTGCGTAACAGAAGTAGATTTACCTGCATGCAGTGTGACTTGATAGCTCCTCAAACACAGCAGCTCAGTGGGATAGCACACGTAGGACCCACCTAAGAGGATTTCATCCCTTTTAGGCTCTCAGTTACTTCTTGCAGTGACTAGAAAGGGTGAGACACCAGGGAAGCATGCATGAGGGAACAGACAAGCAGAGCCACACGGACCGAGCAATTCCACCTCCGTGTCCTGTGTGAGGATCTGCGTGGGTGTGCGTTGCTCTCGGGAGCAGGTTTTCCGTGAAGAGCTGGGCGAGGGAGCTCCGAGGCAAAAGCCACACCGCAGAGGCTGAGGAGCTGCTGGTGCACAGCGGGATTACCGGAGCTCCTGCCTGCTCCCCGAGACCCGCTCTGCGGTGGTACAACGCCCACCTCCCCTCTGCAAGGCAAGCTAACGAAGCTACGTGCTCCTCAGTAACGAGGGATCCCGACCACAGCGACACAGACCCAAGATGGGGGCATCAGAAGCTCTGCAGAATAAGCTCCTTTCCCTTCACATACGGAGCTGTGTCCCCCTTGGCCTCTCTCTACAGAAACAGAGGGGAGGAAGGATTTCCCTGTCCCTGCAGTGGCTCGAAAAGGGGATGCTTCTTCACTACAGCCACAGTGGCTGCCATCCTCTTTTGCATCTGGCCAAGGAAGACCCAGACACCTACTAACACCCCCCCAGGCTGGAGATCACCACGGCCACGGCTCCATTGCAGCATCCCTTGCTTGTCCTCACACCCTTCCCCAAGCATTTGGGACTATTAGCCACTGTGCAGACAGACACAAGCCGGGGGAGACTTCTCTGCCCTTTTGTGGCTGGTCTTAAGAAGTGGTTTGAGGAGAGTTAACAGGAGCTGAAAGAGGTGGTGGTGGAATAAGTTTCTAGCAGCTGTGCAAATGCTCCCACCTCCAGCAAGGCTGATTGTTGCAGGCTAACATCTCCACCTCCCTGCTCTGAGCATCTCCCTCCATCTTAGTCAATATTCACCTGGTCAGTGAGGTCGTATTTTCCTTGGTTCTCATCCAAAAGTCTCTCTTGCAAGAGGATTTTCAGGAGCTCACGGGTAAGCAGTTCCATCATGTCCTCCAGCAAGGCTCTGAGAGAGGGACCGAAGGCCATCGGCACCGCAGGCTCCTCCGGCGACTCCAGGTGCGGGGAGCCCGCGACGCTCTTCTTCCCCATGAAGTGACCTGCAACACAAGGCACTGGGGTGTCTGCGCAAGCATCCCACGGGAGAGAGAGACCAAGGGGCTCCGGCTTCGCTGGGATCTGCTACCTCACACCCACGCGAGTCGCCGAGCGAACCCAACGCCTAAATCACCCCGGTGCAAAGTGAGGAGAAACCCAGAAATCCCAGGTCCTTGCTCCGCACGGGACTTTGGGGGGACGGGGGGGGGGACACACGGACACTTCCCCCGCTCCTGCTGCCGGGCCGGCTGGGGGTCCGAGAGATGCCGGCCCTGCCCCGCCGTTCTCCTGCCCGCCACGGGTCCCCCTCGCCCCGCGGGACACCGAGGGGAGCGGGGGGGGGGGGGGTCCCCCCCAGGCACCCACCGGGAGGCTGAGGGTGGCCGGGCGGGAGCCGCGCCGCGCCGCGCCCCGCACGGCCGCTCCACCCCACGCGCGCCCGTGTCCCCCCGTGTCCCCGTCCCCCCCCCGGTACCTGTGGCCCAGAGGTTGCCGCGGGGGTTGACCTCGATGTGTGCCGCCTGGGCGCGGCGCTGGGCGAAGCCGAGGTGGGCGGCGGGCCCCAGGGCGGCGGCGCAGAGCAGCAGCAGGAGGCAGCGCAGCGCCGCCATGGCCGCCCCGGCGGGACCCGCTCCCGCCCGCCGCCCCCGCCGCGCCTTATAGCCGGGGCGGGGGCGGGGCCTCGGCGAGCCACGCCCCCCCGCGCCCGCGGCGCCCCGCCCTCCCGCTCCCCACGCGAACCGCGCGGCCCCACGGGCCCCGTCCCGGCTCGGCCCGTGGTGCCGTCGCAGGAGGAGAGCGGGGAGGCTTTGCCCCTCCCTCCCTCCCGCGCCGCGATGGCCCTGCGAGGCCACTCGGGACAGCAGCGAGCACGCGTGGGGCCAGCCCTCGGTCACCCGTGGACACCGCCTCGCTGGGCTCACGCAGGCCAAGTAACAAGGACCCCGGGGCCCCACCAGCTGCCGGTCGTTCTCTTGGCTCGCTGCCTGGGAGGCGTCGCCGGTGCCCACCGAGGCAAAGGCGGGTAGAGCTTCGCCCGTGTCCTCCGCCGTTTGCTGGGTGAACGCTTTCCTTCTCCAGCCTTACCCAACTAAAGGAGCTTTTTGACGTGTGGAAGGAACACCAGATCTGGAAGTGGAGCCGTACTTCCGTAACTACAGGAGATCTGATGTTCCTTTGCACATCCCAACAACCTGAGCTTCGGCTTTCCTGATACTGTTCCTACAAGCCCAGGTAACGCTTCCAAATTTCTCCTTCATGGCCTGTTCACGCTTCCACATCCTCCTGACTGCCTTTTTGCACTGGGGCTCAGTCATGTGTTTCATTCCCGGTTTAGCCAAACCCAGCTCCCAGTACATCTACTTGTGTACCCGATTACTGGGACGGGCTTGGAAGATCCTGTCCATAAAGACCTGCCAGCTCTGCTGAGCAACTTTAGTCGTCAGAGAGATGTCCCACTGGATCCCTGTAGATTACCAGCTCCCTGCAGATGGTGGAGACCAGAGTCAGTGTATCACTCCTCACCTTTTCCACTCTTCAGGATCTTGCAGACCGCTATTTCCTCATCACTACACCCCAACCTGCCACCAGTTATCACATTCCCCATCAGTTCTTCCTTTTCCATCAATGGGATGCGTGCCTGGCAGCAGCATGGATGGAGCTGTGCCCAGCCATGTCAAGGACAGAGACGGTGGGGGCCTGGGACACGGACGTCTTATGCCCAGGGCTCAAGTGAAGTGAAGTCCATGTAGAAGTGGAAGCATTTGATCAGAGGGCCCCAAAACACGGGTTGTACTCCGTTTCTTCTCATCACCTGCCTGCAGCCCACAGGGGCTTTCAGGCTCCTCCAGGTTCCACATTTACACAGGGGTGCTCTCAGGGGTTGAACTGCAGCAGGGCAAAGCTGCGTGTCTGAAATGGTGAAAAAAAGGTGAGTGAGAGTGCCCAGAAATCTTGCCTGGCACCTCTATGAAGGAGAAATTTGGAAGTGTTACCTGGGCTTGTAGGAACAGTATTAGGAAAGCCGAAACTCAGTTTGTTGAGATGTGCAAGGAACATCAGATCTCCTGTAGTTATGGACGTACTGCTCCACTTCCAGATCTGGTGTTCCTTCCACACGTCAAAAAGCTCCTTTAGTTGGCTTTGAGTTATCTCCATTTTGTGTTGTATACACAGGTCACTGACAGGAATGAGGTCTGAAGGGTTGGGGGCCAACCAGGATCAGGGAGGGAGCTAACAGTGCAGCTCTCTCAACAGCCACAGTACCTGAGAGGTGAGCAGAACAGACTCAGAGGTGGTGACAAAATTCAGAGAGAGTCCAAATCGTCAAGCACGTTCGTGGTGATGCAGCAGGTGCCAGGGCAAGCTGCAGGGCAGGATGAGGTCTGGTGGGGGTAACCAGGGTCAGAGACAGTTCAGAGAGGTCCATAGTGATGAGACAGGTCTGAGATCAGGTCACGTCAGTCCACAGCCAGGCACTGCTGAGCTGGAGACCAAGGCTCCTACAAAGGCAGTCAACGAGAGCCTAAAGGCCCAGGGCTGAGCTTAAACAGGGCTCCTGGGGGTGGAGAGTGGAGGGACCGGGTGAGGCCCTTTAAGGTTTATTAGTGTCCTCAGGGCCCTGACAGCTTCTGCCAAATTTACAGCTCCATAACTTTGCAAGGAGGTGCTGGCTGGTGGGGGAGGAAGTGCCTGTGACGACCCAGTTCTCCGGGGAGCTGGCACAGGGAAGATTTAATAGCAGTGCCCTTCTCAGCAGTTACTGCTGCTCAAGAGAAAAAGGGCTAGAAGAGATTCGTTCCTCTCTAACAGCAGGGGGTCCGGGTCTGAACTGCAAATGCAGCTCTAAGTTTACGGGGAGGAAAGAAATTAAAAAGTACTCTGCATTAGACACGCACCCTTCCAAACTGAGCGTGTGTCCCCTTGGGTGGCCAGCTGGCCGGTCAGCGTGGTCTCCCTTACTGTCTGGGAGGTGTGCCAATGACGACCGGCGTGGCTGGCGAGGAGATATTCTTCTAGCCGGTCCACCACCCATCAGAGAGGCGGCTGCCTCCGCTAGCCCTGTGTGCTGGAGGTCCTGGGCTGCAATGGGGAGTCTCGCTCCGCTTTCTCACCGCGCTCCTTTCCTGACTGTGTTCGGCAGTACTGCGGAGCAGGGCAGCGCTGGGCCCGCGTCTCCGCTCGCCTTTCGAGGCGATGGCCTTTTTCTGGGGGCCGTACTGCGTGGGGTGCGTGAATGTGGTGCCCACCATGGACGGGGGCATTTGCAGCGCCGAGGCCCTGACTGACCCCTCATGCTCACATCGTGGCAGCTTCGTGTCCTCCATCAAGTCAGCAGTTCCAGCTGCACACACACACGCAGAGCCTTTTTTTTTTTCAAAAGAGTTTTAAATTCACTCACGGTGGCAAAAGTGCTGGAAATTTGGTGTGTCTGGAGAAGGCTTGGGATGTAGTCGGGGCAGGGAGGAGGAGGATTTGAAGTCCAGAGATGGTGCTGGATGCGAAGGAAGAGCCCAGCACTGGCACAGGTGAGTCTGTTTTTTCCCTCGTGCTGGGGCAGGGGCGTTATCAGGGATGCTGAGCTGCATTCCTCCGCGTGTGCTTTGGAGCTGCTGGCAGGGGGGATTCTCTCCCTGTGCCAGGGTCCAAACTCTGCCTGGTGGCCCAGCAGCACGGGGTCTGTCCCAGTGCTTGCTAGAGACGCTGTGTCACTGCGCACCAGCAGCCAGAGGCAGGGAAGAGCGAGAGGAAGGGTTGCCTGTAGGATTACAGAGGATGAAGCCAGGGATAAAGTGATACCAATTACAGAGAGGGCAGAGAAAAGAGCCCCGGGCAATTACAGCACCTAGCAAAGCGTGACGGGGGCGGGGGTTAAATCCCACTCCTTCGAGGCAGCAAGGGTGCTCCTCAAAGATTAACTGGAGAGGGGCAGACAGCCCCAGGGAGGGGGACAAGCAGCAGGAACCAGCTCAGCCTTTCAAACAGGGCGAAGGCTTTTGTGCTGATCTGATCTTAATTAGATACAGAACCTAACTGACACACATCTTTTTCAGCGGGTGGCTGCAGGCTGCAGGGGTTACCTCGGTCAGGCTGGGAGAGGAGGAACAGGTATTTCTGATCCCAGTGCTACTGGTGAGGGACTGCAAGGCCGGCTTGGGAAAGGCTGGGAAAAAGAACTCAGGGAGTTCCTGCCCGGTTGCAGTGTCATTATAAATGCTTGGAAACTGAGGGGACGCCAGATTAATTGCTGAGTACCAAGGCTTGGCCAGATGGGGCATCTGTGGGAGATCTGAGCCCATAACCCTGATTTCAAGCCTGGGAAGAGCGATGGAATAGCTGCTCAGGGACTTGGTGGAAGCTGAAAGTGGAGGCCCGATTCAGGGCAGCCAGTGGGGTTTTTATGGAAAACAACTCTTGAAAGGGACCCAAGCTCACCCCTCACTGAGCAGCAGCGTCAGTGCTAAAGGAAAATGCACAGCTGAAATCCAGGCAGGGCTTTGGGAACACCGATTTCATCCCTTGCAGCAGTCTCATTAAAAACTAACCCCAGGTACCAACAGACAGGTCCTGAGCAGGAGGCTCAGCCCAGCTCACCCTCTTCAGTGACGGAATTACAGCCAAGTGGGTTTTCCAATGAACACGGCGTGGGTGCTGAGCAGCCCCTGGGCAGCCATGGATGCTTGACAAGTGGGGTCTGTCCAGAGGGTGTTTTACTGCACCTGGGAACAAGGACTGCAGCTCGGTCATACGGGGCCGGAGTGGGCTGATCCCACTGCAGTCAAATTCCTCCATTCCTGGGAAGGCAAGAGAGCTGCCCCCTCCTTTGTCACCCTGACCCTGAACAAATGCAGCCTGAGCGATGGCTGCAATAAAAGACCAGGTTTTCTCTTGATTTCTTAGTCCATATCGTCTTTGCAAAGAGGTGATCTTGTTCCTAATTCGGGAAAAATAGCTGGCACCCAGGACCGTCCTGGGAGAGGCACCAGAACCTGAACTCCAATTCCCGGTCGCCAGCTTGGCGGGGTAGGTGATGGATTCTCTGCCTCTGCCTTCCTCCAACTTTGGTGCGCAGAGCTGGGCCCCCCAGCGCCTCCACACCCATCTGCCAGGCAGCGGGGGAGCCAGCGCTCAGTAGCAGAGGAGGCTGGAGCCTGCTGATGTGACAGCTTTGGTCCTGGAGCCTGCCGGGACCCCCAGCATTCAGGGCAGGAATTGTCACCGCAACACTCCTCCGCTGGCTGCTCTCACTTTTCCAACTGTCACCAGCCGCCAAAGGAAGCCGGTAAGCTCCCCGGCTTATATATCAAAAAAGGCACTACAAATTCCATTTTAGAAATTGTTTGTTTGTTTTTTTTTTTTTTTTTTCTGGCAAAGGTCAGCGCCCCAGCTTCTGCACGTGGTGCAGGAGACGTGCCTGTTGGCCACCAGCTTCCTGCAAGGGCCTTGCAACGGAGCCTGGGCAGGACGGAGGTGACTCAGCAAACCCTGGGCTTCTGATAAATGGTTACATCCTCGAGGCAGAGCATGCGTCTGCACAGAGCTAGCCATCCCCTCTCCCGGTGGGATTAACCCTCTGGGGCTGGGTGAGAGCAGCCTCCTCTCCGCAGCCCTGCACAGACCCTCCAGGAATGGTCCCTTCTTACCCAAATCAGCCTCCAAACTCCTTAGTTTGCACCGTTGGTTGCCCCCGATGCCTCCAGTTGAAGGAAGTAGTGATTGTCTGTTTTGTTGTTTTCCCCTAGTAATTCTTGCACACAATTTATTTTCTTGATGGCTACTGACCACTGAACTGACATTTTCATAGCACAATCTGTTACAACCCCGATGTTCCAGATGGTAATGCTTAACTCGGAACCCGTTGCTTTATAAATAGAGTTAAAATTGTTTTTTCCCCCTGTGCACCATTTTATATTGATGTACATTTGAATTTCATCGTTTTTATTGCCCAGTCTCTTTCCACAGTTGGCCCTCATCCACACAACCCTTTCTATCAGCAGCAAACTTCAGTATTTGCCTGCTTTTGCAGACCATTTTTGACTACGCCGAACACAGTCCCTGCACAGCTCCCTGGTGTTTTTTGATACAGAGATTGTTGCCTCCTACCTTTTGTTCCTCACCTTTTGGCAAATGATTTCG